TGCCAAGAACAGCCTCAATGGTGGGGGGGGGGGGGGGTCTGATGACATCACGAGATTAAATGGCACTGCAGATGGCAACTTGATCATGGCCCCTGCACCTCTCAAGATGCCCCCCCTGCTGGGTGACTCACCTGAATTTGCTGAATCTGTCCTTGTCAGCTTCAAACAGCTTCCGTATGTTGAGGGTGGCATGGTTGGCTTCGTAGAACTTGCTGAGCTTCTGATAGACGGGGTCACTGGTGAGGGACATGGCTGATGACAAGCTGGATATACAATGAAGCCCCTGAGCTGGTGGAGACAGGAGGAGATGTGAAGGCTCGGCCTCTTATATGGGGACAAGGCTGGCTCTGCGGGAGGAGACTGACAAGCCCACCTGATCCCCCGCGCTCAGCCAATGGGAAACGCCTCAAAGCCAAGCCCACTCGATGGTCGGGTTGCTGTGTGAAGGGAGCCCCGCCTCTATGCAGAATCAAAGTGTCCGCAGAATTGGAGGGCTGGCGGCCATGTTAGCGAAGCCCAGATGCATTGAAGAGTGCAGGATGGTGTCCGCATTAATCTGGCAGGTACTGGAGACAGATGAGAGGAGGCTCTGGGAGTGACTGGGGAGAGGAGCAGCCATTTTACGGACTGTGTGCTCAGGGATCAAATGTCATGTGGGCGTAGAGGAGGCTGTGTTATATGTCACTCTCTCTGGATATTTAGATGTACATATAGATATATATGTATATATCTATCTTTTTTATTTTCATGCTTTATTTATTTTCTTCCTAAAGCAGCCACACCCCAAGTAGTAAAGCCTTTTCCCTTTGCAGCAGCTGCAGAGACAGACCCTTGCTCTCCACGTGGAAGCAGTGGTCTCTCTGTAGAGGTCCGACATATCGCCCGCTGAGCCAGAGCCAAAGCTCTCCAATCAGCAGGGAGCATGAACTTTGCTGATTGCAGTGCTATAGGTCTGAGTGACTCAGTAAGGGGCATCGTCAGGCCTCTGCAAAGAGACCACTGCTTCCACACAGAGAGCAAATGTCCTTCTCTACAAATTGCTGGCAGGGGTCAGGCATTGCTACTCAGGCTGTGGCTGCTTTAGAAAGAAAATTGATTGATTGCATGCACTTGGAATGCATTTAATGGATTTAAACTTCAATTGGGTTTTAAAGCTTATCTATAGACAAAACTTGTTTTTTTGTTTTGAACAGAGCAGGGAAGACTCTTTTTAAAAAAAATCTATGTCCCATTGGGGAGATTTTCTTTTATTTCCCCGTAGGCACAACAGGAAGTGAGAGGAACTCTCTCCCAGGTGCGAGGAAATCTCCTCTCGGTCAGTTGTCACCAGAACAGGTGTCCCCCTTAGAAGATCTCTTATCATTTCATGTTCTGGGGGGGGGGGGAAATTGGATTTTCGATCACTTTTTGCCTTATAATGGTCGCCAAGAGAAATGGAGAGGGTGAATCTCCAGGTTGAATCTCTCCCTCTGAGTTCACAATCCTTACCTACGTCATCCAAACCTAAAAAACATAGTTTTGGCTTTGGATGCACTTTAAGTTTTGTTTAATTTGGTTTTAATTTAGGGCTGCGGAAATTAACGATTAATCCCTCAATTAATCGTAAATTTTTTTGATCGATCAAAATTCTTTTGATCGGTACTCACCTCTCCACCGGCCTCTGGGTCTTCCGGGAGTTCCGTCGGAGATCCGGTGACGTCACGGACATCAAGTGGTTCATTCGGCTAACGAAGGGAAGGGGGGAGGAGTCCGGTGACGTCGATGTCCGTGACGGCTAACGAATGGAAGGGGGAGGAGTCCGGTGACGTCGATGTCTGTGACGGCTTACGAATGGAAGGGGGAGGAGTCCAGTGACGGCTAACGAATGGAAGGGGGGAGGATTTCGGTGACGTCGATGTCCGTGACGGCAAACGAAGGGAAGGGGGAGGAGTTCGGTGACGTTGATGACTCCTCCCCCCCCCTTCCTTTCGTTAGCGCCGGAGCCACTTGGCCCAGTGAGTTTGGGTATTTTGATCACCCTAATTCTTTCTTTAGTGGGATGTAATTTACTCTGGCAGAGACTGCAAGTTGTACAACTTGCAGTCTCTGCCAGAGCATGGCTGCTGTGAGTCACAGCACATCATTGTCTTCTGCACTCAGTTTTAAAGGGAAATTATGATTGTTTTGGATTTATAGGGGGGATAGATTTATCAAAACTGGAGCGAAAAAATCTGAAGCAGTTGCCTATGGCAACCAATCAGCTTTCATTTCAGTTTGTTCAGTTATGCTTTGAAAATGAAAGGTGATGCTGATTGGTTGCCATGCACAGCTGCTCACCACATTTACCACAGACTAATGCAGAGTTGCAATGCAAGCAGATCAGCTAAAAGTAGTTGGATCTGTATGTGCGTTATAATTAATCGAAATTAATCGATTTAAAAAAAAATCGATTAATCGAACACAAAATGTTTATTCAGTAACAGCCCTAATTTAATTTTTAGAGACAATGTTGATGTTTTCGTAATGACATCAGGGTTCTTTTATGCAGTCCATATAGATGAACTCTGGTACCTTTGATGAAGACATTTTGGGCCCGAGTCATGGTCAGTTGATGGCCTATAGGATTAGGAATTGCTGATTATTTCGATTTATTGAGAAGACATTCCATGATTGTATTGCCATCCTTTGATTCTTCACATTTTGATACTTTGTTGCTTTTCTGTAGATACTGAATACTCCATCCATGGACCTCTGCTGGAGTCCCTCTTACGCCATACCCTGAACAGAACAGGAAGGATGGTTGTTGTGAGCTGGGTGAGTCCCTCATAAACATGTGCGATTCATACCGCGCCGAATGGCATTCGCGTCTGGGAGCCGAGTTCCCCCAATGCCAGTAGAAAGGCATCATGGCACACTCACAAACCAGCATGTAAAACAACTTGTCTCACCACTAAGGACAATGACAGAGGTTTGGATACACGTCTTCAGCAAAGGATGTGTAAGCCGCAGTGCCGCGCCAAGGCACCTCTTATAGTGCGGTCCTAACTCTAAACTATGAGAGTCTCCGTCTTGGAGGACATGGGGGCAGAAGATATCAAATTGGGTGCAGGCCTGTCAGGAGGACGCCCCACCTCCTTAAAGGTACAGAAACACACAAGGGATCCCGCACATCCCATTGGCAGCTGAGAAACCCCATGCGTCGCTGCACCAAATCGGTAAAGCAAAACAAACGACAAACGCACTCAACAATTTGTTACCAGTTATACAGTAAGGTGCACACGAAACTGGTAACAAATTGTTGAGTGCGTTTGTCGTTTGTTTTGCTTCCCCCAATGCCATTCGCGTCTGGCAGCCGAGGTGTCATACCGTGTTTCCCCGAAAGTAAGACCTACCCCGAAAATAAGACCTAACTATTCATATGAGGAAAATAATGATTTGCTCCTCTGCAGATTTTGTAAGTTTGCCCACATACAAAGAAATGAAAGGTCTATAATTGTTATCACAGGTGTATTTTAAAGGAGAACTATGGGGTCAGTGTTTTTCCCCATAGTTCTCCTTGGGGTAACGGGAGGACACAAACTAGCATCCTCCCGTCACCCTAAGCTCAGTATACCGCGAGCTACAGCTCACTATATACGTAGACGCCGCAGCCGGAGCGGATCCCGACTTAGATGACGGGATCCGCCCAGCTGCGTGAGTGACAGCTGGCTCTGCCTAACTAGAGGCAGAACCAGCTGTACCCGCCCCCTCCCCCGTCCGTTCCGCCAGTCAGCGCTGGCGGATCGGAGCGGGGAGGGGGGAATCCAATCCTTACCTGTCACGGCAGAGAGCCGTGACAGGATCGAGAGGTGAGGGAACCCGGTATGTGTTCCCTCACCTCCCGATCTACTGAGCCGACCTGTGACAGTCTCATTGTCACAGGTCGGCTTAGAACTATGACGTGAGTGGAAATCGCTCACCTCATAGTTCTCCTTTAAATGACAGAGACAGAATATCAGGGCTAGTTCACACCAAGCGCGGAGCAGGTCCAGAGCAGAGCAGGTGCAGACCGGATCAAAACTGCGTCCAATGTATTCCTATGGTATTTTTAGCTCCAGTTCACATCGCAGCGTGCAGATCCAGAGCAGGCAAAAAAAACTATAGCAGGCCCTATTTTACCTGCTCTGGATCTGCAAACGCATCAAAAATGCATGCAAATGCCAGGAACGCACTGAAAGCCCATGTTAAACTAAAAAAAAAAAAGACAAAAACGCATCTAAAAGACTAGCGTGCGTGTGCAGAAACCTGACCGGATCTTCTCTGCATTTGGTGTGAACAAGGCCTTAAGTTCTCCTTTAATATGCTTGACCCTCTAATTCTGCAGTTACCCATCTTCTGCCTTGGCCAAAGTCACACACACCAGTACATTGCACAGCATGTTGACCAGGAAGAGGAAGGAGCTGCAGCCGGCATATATGTAGGAGTAGGCGGCATAGGTGGACATGTTGGTCCCACAGTCAAAGAAGCACCAGGTTCAGGGGTACTGGCAGTAATTTATGAATAATTTATAATATAAAAAAATATTTTCTCTTACCTAACTGGTTTGACCACAAATGTAAGGGGGACACTACACTGATCTCCAATATAAGGAGGCGCTATACTGACCTCCAATGTATACTGACCTGCAATGTAAAAAGACCCTTCTCTGCTGGCCACCAATATAAGAAGGCTGTGATCACCACTGACCACCATTGTAAGGGAGGCACTGATCATCAGATTAAGGGGGTAATTGTCTAAGGACCACCAATGTAAGTGGCCCTTCACCACTGACAACCATTGTAAGGGAGGCCTTCTCCACTGACCATTAACGTAAGGTGGCCCTTCAACACCTGACTACTATTGTAAGAGAGGCCTTCTCCACTGACCATAAACGTAAGGGGGCCCTTGTTCACTGACCAACAATGTAAGGAGACCCTTTGCCACTTAACCACAATGTAAGGAGACCCTTCTTCCACTAACCACCAATTTAGGGGGACCATTCTCCACTAGGAATGAAGTTCAAACCAAGTCCATGTCCCTACCAAACCATCGGTAGGGACATGGGGCCACCCACCCAATCAGTGGCAGACTGGAGCACTTCCTGCCCTGCAGCTGCACATCAACAAAGAGGTGAGATGCTTATGCAGACATCATTGGCCTTAAATGGCCACGTGGCTATATTAGGTCAGCGTCATTAACCAAATATAACCATGTGGCCATTTAAGGTCTATGATGTCACTAAATCCCGCCCCTTTGCTGACGTGCAGCTGCCGGTGGGGAATTCTCCTGCAGCTGATGGGTGGCAGTGGAAGGAGCTTCCTTCTTTTTTCCACTGATCACCAATATAAGGAGACCCCTTACCCACACACTTCAAGTTCTAA